ACTATCCAGTGCCCCACACAGTCCCCAGTGCCCCACAAAGTCCCCGGTGCCCCACACTCTCCCCAGTGCCCCACACACTCTCCAGTGCCCCACACTCTCCCCAGTGCCCCACACTCTCCCCGGTGCCCCACACAGTTCCCAGTGCCCCACACTCTCCCCAGTGCCCCACAAAGTCCCCGGTGCCCCACACTCTCCCCAGTGCCCCACACAGTCCCACATCCCCTGTGCCCCCCCTGTCCCACCCCTGTGCCCTCCAGGGCCTCTCATGCCCCCTCACCATTCCCCAGTGCCCCACATGTTCCCCAGTGCCCCTCACGGTCCCATGTCCCCCCTGTCCCACCCCTGTGTACTTCTGGGCTTCCCATGTCCCCTCACCCTTCCCCGGTGCCCCACACAGTCCCCGGTGCCCCACACAATCCCCGGTGCCCCACACAGTCCCCAGTGCCCCACACAATCCCCGGTGCCCCACACAGTCCCTGGTGCCCCACACAATCCCCGGTGCCCCACACGGTCCCCAGTGCCCCACAAAGTCCCCGGTGCCCCACAAAGTCCCCAGTGCCCCACATGGTCCCCGGTGCCCCACACGGTCCCCGGTGCCCCACACTGTCCCTGGTGCCCCACAAAGTCCCCGGTGCCCCACACGGTTCCCAGTGCCCCACATGGTTCCCAGTGCCCCACACTGTCCCCGGTGCCCCACACAATCCCCGGTTCCCCACACGGTCCCTGGTGCCCCACACGGTCCCCGGTGCCCCACACAGTTCCCAGTGCCCCACATGGTTCCCAGTGCCCCACATGCTTCCCGGTGCCCCACACAGTCCCCGGTGCCCCACATGCTTCCCGGTGCCCCACACAGTCCCCGGTGCCCCACACGGTTCCCGGTGCCCCACACGGTTCCCAGTGCCCCACACGGTCCCCGGTGCCCCACACAATCCCCGGTGCCCCACACAGTCCCCGGTGCCCCACACAATCCCCGGTGCCCCACACGGTTCCCGGTGCCCCACACAGTCCCTGGTGCCCCACACTGTCCCCGGTGCCCCCTCCCCGCCCCCAGGCCGTGCCCCCGAGCCGGTGTCCCCTCTATCCCCCCGCAGTCCCCCCGGAGGACCCCACCATCGACGGCGCCCCCGAGATCCTGCTGCGGGCGGGGACCCCCTACAACCTGACGTGCCGCGCCCGCAGCGCCAAGCCCGCGGCCACCATCGCCTGGTTCCGCGACGGGCTGCAGCAGGACGGCGCCGTCACCAGCACGGTACGGCGTCCCCGTGCTGTGCCCGCGGGCACGCGTCCCTGTGCCCGGTGCCACCAACCTGTGCCCACTGCCACCACCCCGTCCCTGTGCCCGCTGCCACCCTGTCCCTGTCCCTGCTGCCACCCGTCCCTGTGCCTGCTGCCACCCTGTGCCCTCTGCCACCACCCCGTCCCTGTGCTCGCTGCCACCACCCTGTCCCTGTGCCCACTGCCACCCGTCCCTGTGCCCACTGCCACCACCCTGTGCCCTCTGCCACCACCCTGTGTCCACTGCCACCACCCTGTCCCTGTGCTCGCTGCCACCCCATCCCTGTGTCCACTGCCACCCTGTCCCTGTGCTCGCTGCCACCACCCTATCCCTGTGCCCACTGCCACCACCCTGTCCCTGTGCCCACTGCCGCCACCCTGTCCCTGTGCTCGCTGCCACCACCCTGTGCTGTCCCTGCTGCCACCACCCTGTCCCTGTGCCCACTGCCACCACCCTGTCCCTGTGCTCGCTGCCACCACCCTGTCCCTGTGCTCACTGCCACCACCCTGTGCTGTCCCTGCTGCCACCACCCTGTCCCTGTGCCCGTTGCCACCACCCATCCCTGTCCCCGCGGCCACCCTGTCCCTGTGCCCACGGCCACCACCCTGTGCTGTCCCTGCTGCCACCACACCGTCCCTGTGCCTGCTGCCACCCGCCCCGTGCTGCCCCTCTGTCCCCCACCCCGTGCTGTCCCCAGCCCCTCTGGAACTGTCCCCATGTCCCCAGCCCCTCTGGAGCTGTCCCCGTGTCCCCAGCCCCTCTGGAGCTGTCCCCTCCCCGTGTCCCCTCCCGTGTCCCCCGCGCAGGAGCTGCTGGCCGATGGCAAGCGCGAGAGCACCACGAGCCTGCTGGCCATCAACCCCACGGACCTGGACATCGGCCGCGTCTTCTCCTGCCGCAGCTCCAACGAGGCCGCGCCGGCCGGCAAGGAGACCTTCGTCCGGCTGAACGTGCACCGTCAGTGGGGACGGGGACATGGACAGGGGACAGGGGGACAGGGACATGGGACAGGGACACGGGGACATGGGAGACCTTCGTCCGGCTGAACGTGCACCGTCAGTGGGGACAGGGACGGGGACAGGGACAGGGGGACAGGGACATGGGACAGGGACACGGGGACATGGGAGACCTTCGTCCGGCTGAACGTGCACCGTCAGTGGGGACGGGGACGGGGACAGGGGACAGGGGACAGGGACATGGGACAGGGACAGGGGGACACGGGGACAGGGGGACACGGGGACAGGGACAGGGGACAGGGGGACACGGGGACAGGGACAGGGACAGGGACAGGGACAGGGACAGGGACAGGGGGACATGGGAGACCTTCGTCCGGCTGAACGTGCACCGTCAGTGGGGACGGGGACGGGGACAGGGGACAGGGGGACAGGGGCAGGGACAGAGACAGGGGGACACGGGGACATGGGAGACCTTCGTCCGGCTGAACGTGCAGCGTCAGTGGGGATGGGGACAGGGGGACAGGGATGGGGATGGGGACAGGGACAGGGACATGGGAACATGGGACAGGGGGACAGGGACATGGGGACAGGGACAGGGACAGGGGGACATGGGGACGTGGGACAGGGACAGGGACAGGGACATGGGAGATGGGAGACCTTCATCCGGCTGAACGTGCAGCGTCAGTGGGGACGGGGACAGGGACAGGGACATGGGACACGGGACAGGGACACGGGGACATTGGGGACAGGCTCAATGTCCACTGTAAATGCGGACAGGGACAGGGGACACCAGGGCTGGATGGAGATTTTGGGGGATTTTTGGGGACTTTGGGGGGATTTTCGGGGTGCCGCAGGCGGGAGCGGTGCCTGTGGAAGGGATTTGCTGGAGGAGGAGGAGGAGGAGGAGGAGGAGGAGGAGGAGGAGGAGGAGGAGGAGGAGGAGGAGGAGGAGGAGGAGGAGGAGGAGGAGGCAGGGCCGGGACTCGCTGGCTGCTGCGGGCAGGGGCGGCCCCCAGCGGGTGACAGCCCCGGGGCGGGCGCTGCCCCAGCCCGGAGTTTTGGGGACCCCCCGCGCCCCCCTGAGCCCGGCCGGTGCCCGCAGATCCCCCGACGGTCACGCTGTCCATCCAGCCGCAGACGGTGCAGGAGGGCGAGAGGGTCGTGTTCACCTGCATGGCCACGGCCAACCCCGAGATCAAGGGCTACAGGTGACCCCGAAACCGCCGCGACTGCGCCGGGGCCACCGGGGGCCACCTGGGGCCACCTGGGGCCACCTGGGATCACCTGGGATCACCTGGGGCCACCTGGGGTCACCTGGGATCACCTGGGGCCACTTGGGGACACCTGGGGTCACCTGGGGTCACCTGGGGCCACCGGGGGTCACCTGGGGTCACCTGGGGCCATCAGGGGTCTCCTGGGGCCACCGGGGGTCACCTGGGATCACCTGGGGCCACTTGGGGACACCTGGGGTCACCTGGGACCACCTGGGATCACCTGGGGCCACCTGGGGTCACCTGGGGTCTCCTGGGACCACCTGGGATCACCTGGGACCAGCTGGGATCACCAGGGATCACTCGGGATCACCTGGGACCACCTGGGGTCACCTGGGGTCACCTGGGATCACCTGGGGCCTCCTGGGGTCACCTGGGATCACCTGGAGTTGGGTCACCTGGGGCCACCTGGGATCACCTGGGATCATCTGGGGTTACCTGGGATCACCTGGGGCCACCTGGGATCATCTGGGGCCACCTGGGGTCACCTGGAGTTGGGTCACCTGGGATCACCTGGGATCACCTGGGATCACCCGGGACCACCTGGGGTTACCTGGGGCCACCTGGGGTCACCTGGGATCACCTGGGGTCACCTGGGGCCACTTGGGGACACCTGGGGTCACCTGGGGTCACCCGGGGTCACCTGGGATCACCTGGGGTCACTCAGTGTCCCCCCATGGCTCTGCGTCCCCTCCCCACCCCAAACCTCCTGGGACTGGGAATTGGGATTGGGAATTGGGATTGGGAATTGGGATTGGGAATTGGGAATTGGGATTGGGGTCAAAGGTCCCCACCATGGCTCTGAGTCCCCTCCCCAAAACCCCCTGGAAATGGCAATGGGGATTGGGAATTAGGATCAGGATTGGGATTTAGGATGGGGATTGGGAATTAGGATCAGGATGGAGATTTAGGATGGGGATTGGGATTTAGGATCAGGATTGGGATTTAGGATGGGGATGGAGATTTAGGATGGGGATTGGGATTTAGGATCAGGATTGGGATTTAGGATGGGGATCGGGATTTCGGATGCGGATCGGGATTTCGGATCAGGATCAGGATTTAGGATGGGGATCGGGATCTCGGATGGGGATCAGGATTTAGGATGGGGATCGGGATTTCGGATGGGGATCGGGATTTCGGATGCGGATCGGGATTTCGGATGGGGATCGGGATTTCGGATGGGGATCAGGATTTAGGATCAGGATTGGGAATTAGGACCAAGATTGGGATTTCGGATGCGGATCGGGATTTCGGATGCGGATCGGGATTTCGGATGGGGATCGGGATTTCGGATGGGGATCGGGATTTCGGATCAGGATTGGGAATTAGGACCAAGATTGGGATTTCGGAAGCGGATCGGGATTTCGGATGGGGATCGGGATTTAGGACGGGGATCGGGATTTCGGATGGGGATCGGGATTTAGGATGCGGATCGGGATTTCGGATGCGGATCGGGATTTCGGACGGGGGCCGGGGTGCCACGGTGTCCCGGCTGTCCCAGGTGGGCCAAAGGGGGGGTGATCATCGAGGAGGCCAAGGAGAACAGGTACGACACGCAGGTGGACTACACCTTCTTCACGGAGCCCGTGTCCTGCGAGGTGCACAACGACATCGGCAGCACCAACGTCAGCACGCTGGTGGACGTGCACTGTGAGTGACCCCGAAGCGCCCCGAACCCCGAAACCGGCCCCAAAACCGGCCCCAAAACCGGCCCAAATCCCCCAAAGCGCCCCAAACCCCGAAACCGGCCCCAAAACCGGCCCCAAACCCCAAAACTGGCCCCAAAACCGGCCCCAAACCCCAAAACCGGCCCCAAAAGTGACCCCAAACCGCCCCAAACCCCAAAACCGGCCCCAAACCCCAAAA